TAAGTTATGAAATGGTTGGGTGAAACATGTATAACCCATGGTAGTCACTATTGAATGTATAGTCTGAGCAAACCACATTTTGTAAGCATTTATCCTTAACTCCATACGGATGGTTCTAAACCAAAACAAAATCTAGAAGATGAACTATATGTTTGTTCAACAATAATTTACCTCTTTTACATTAAGTGCACACACTTTAATTATATATTATATTGTTAAAGACATTTTCAGAAATTTCTTTTGATACCAAATATTTATATATGAATCTTATTTTAAGATGATTAAAATATAAATAAGTGAGAAACTAAATTTGTTTTTCCGTTTCAGCATGGCATTTCTGCTGTAAATATCATAACATACCTCTCAAAATCAGCTTCCAGTGAAGCTTGAAACTGGAGGGAGGGAGTGAGAAAGGCTACCTGCCAATCAGGTAGACTGGACCACCAAAGGCTGACCATGCAGTGAGCCCTGTTTAAGTGCATCTTGTTAGGAACGGTTCCCTGGTATCCCCAAAATAGACACCTTAGAACAAAGTTGGTACAGGAACCAAAAATTAGGATTATCCCGCCCAAATCAGGATGGATGGAAGGCATGTCTTAACACTGATTTTGATCTGAGACACGAGCCCCAGTCTTTACATATGGAAATTTGACAATTTTATTTTCTTGGCCCGTCACCTTTGAGACAGTATGGTGGTATAGGAAAGAACATTTTCGCCATTATGGCATGCCATTCAAAAATAGACAACCCAGGGTATTCAAAATAGGATATTTTAAATACCTTGGGTTTTATTACAAATGCTGGCCACATTTAGTGGTTATACTTTCTTTTTTGTTTTATCTCACAAATGAGTAAATTTTTTATAGGAAACTTAGAATCTTGACATGTGTTTCTTATTTCAATTCCTTCAATCTTGCCATCAGCTTATCAATCACCAGCTTTCAGCTCTCCTCTTCACGCCCCCTTCCTATTTCCCTATGCCTCCTTTGGAACTGCTTCTCCTTCACCAACTCTCCGTCAATAGTGTTCTCAAACCTGCCTAAGGGCTGTTAGGTGACTTGTTGGTCTTTTCAAACTATTTCCTCATGTTCCTCTCACCGCGTTCTCCTTACAACTTCACCATTACTTTGCCCTTACTCTGCCTTCCCTGTCCCGCTGCATCACAAGCATCTTATGTCATCAAGTCCTCCACCTGATGTGTTTTGCAGCAATTGTGCTTCCTCCAGTTGAGATGTGTCGTGTTAATGCAATAAAGCTCCAAGATTTTTATTTAGCATTGTCTCACAGATATAACAGTGCTCCCATGTGCTAGTTTTCCAAGTTTGTTCATGAAGTTAGAGAACCAGATATACTACATACCCTTTTCAAACTTGACAAATTTAAAATTTTGATTATCAAGGCATGCAAACTTATGTTATGTTTGAGACAGTATGACAACCTAGCAAAGAAAAATAGTCTCATACTGTCAGAACATTTTAAATAGTAAGTAACTCATGGTATTCTAAATAGGGTATTTTGAGTTGTTTGCTGTAACCATTTTATAATGACCTTGGGCTGGGCTTAACGTAAACAGGGACAGGTTAAGATTAGGAGATCCATAAGTCAAAACAGTCTTTATAGCAAGACAATAAGTCAGTAGAGAGAGATGAGAAAGAGGAATCAAAACAAGCCAAGGTCAGGAATACAGAATAACTAATAAATGAAGCCACATACAGAGTCATTTGACTCAATAGGTCAGGCAGATATGGGCAGGAAGGGCAATATTAGCTAGAGTCCCTCCTAACTAGATATAGGCTAGGTTTCAACACAAAATACATTTTTAAACAAATTAATGATGCTGTAACAATTGTCTACCCATAAATGGTAGCTTTTGCACAGAAATTGTACAAAGAGATAACACACAATCTTGCCATTTGTGCCCACAGAATCAGGACATCATGGTAGGTCAAGATGGCTATCATTTCTTTGATAAATGCAAAATCCCCAGGTATAACCTGTACCTGTAAGGCTTTTGCATAATTTGTAAATTTGTATTCCATATTATGTATAAGAGCAGCAGGGTAGCCATTTGTCATAAACAAGTAAGTATTTGCCAAACAAAATTCTATCAGCCAGATTATTAATAACTACATGTAACATCAAGTACAAAATATTACAGTAGTAAACTATATGTAACAATGGTAGTATCATTATAGTAAAGTAATAATCAAGTAACAAAATGAAAGAAATCTGGTTGAATATCTTCTCCATCTCAGTACGTACCTTACAGCTGCAGTATTCAAAATGAAAAGGTCTTGATGCAGGGATGAAATCATAACAAAAATCACCCTAATGGCCCTGATAAAAATGTTACATAACCTTGAATGTTTGGCCTTGTTACAGACCCACATGGTGACACACACAGGTTAAAATGGCAATTAAAGGTTAATTTCCCACACCTGTGGCTTTTTAAATTGCAATTAGTATCTGTGTATAAATAGTCAATGAGTTTGTTAGCGCCCATGTGGATGCACTGAGCAGGTTAGATACTGAGCCATGGGGAGCAGAAAAACAGACCTGTCAAAAGACCTGTGTAACAAAGTAACAGAACTTTATAAGGATGAAAAAGAATATAAAAAGATAACCAAAACTTGGTTTTTGTGTCAGAAATTACATTTACATTTTGACAGATTTCATAGCAGTTTCTGAAATGATATCTTAATTTATTGAGAGCACATTTCTCTTACTTCTTGAGCAGAAGAGCAGTACAATGGCATATCTTTCCCTAACAAGTTTTAAGTAGTGACAAAAAGAATAGTATAATTCAATAGCATCCTGCTATAAGCTAGAGTAAAATTCAGGGATTGTGCATTTCTATTATTGCACATCTGCTAGGCAGCAGGAATGCAGAAACCAACACTCATATTATGAATTACATTGAAAATGGACTTGGAACCCACACTAACATCCCTAGTCATGAAACTTATCTGTGTGATACATTTTATGGAGAGCTAAACATTTCTCAAGGTGAAAACAGAACACAAGAAAATAAATCTAAACCATATGGATTTTATGAGAGTAATTTACTTACAAACCTAAAAACCAAGCAATATTTTGTAATACTGCTGTGCACAATTTTAAAAGCCCACAAAACACACACGACATAAAAATTGATTACAGCCTTACTCGCTAGACTTATGAGGCATTTCCAAAACATTTTCAGGCATTTTCTTTTTACATCATTCTATTGCTTTAAAATATAGCTGCCTGATATAAAATTAAAAATAATATTATCCTTTTGCCCCTCCACTAACCATTGAGATCCAGGGCTAAAGAGTAATGCTAGCTACCAATCACCACACCTGAAGCTAAGATGTCATCTTTGGGGTCTATGTATGTTTTTCTGTCTCAAAAGGTGACAGACGATAATTGCAAGTTACTACAACCCTTTTGGGTGGCACTTTTTTAAATCTAGAATGCCCCAATGGGTACTACTAATTACTCCCCTGTTGGGGATAAAATCAGCCCGGGCCCTTTGTGGATGATGGATATTTGCCAACTCATTCAGAGCTCTGGACATTGGAAATGAATAGCAGAGACATGTTCAATAACCAATTCAAATTGTATTCATACGTCAGTTATATTTATACCCCATTTTCATAGCAGGATGGGAGGGGGAAAAATGAGCATATGGGCGTGACAATGACATTGTTTTTCACAAGTTATGAGCAGCTGTTTCTTATTATAATTCAGTGTTATATAATGTATGCATATTGGATAAAACCCAGATGATTACAAATACCGAAATCTTGGACAATTAACAAGAACATCCCAAAATCCTTATCCAAGAACATCTCATGTAAAAATCCTTTTCCAAGAACATATCAAAATCATTTTCCAAGAACATTTCCCGTAAATAGGATTTTAGATAAATTTTATTTCCGAGAATCGGAGATACAATTCCAAATTTATTCTTGGTTCAAATTAACCCTTATATGAACAGCTAGGATATTAAGCAAAATGGATATTCATATCCTACACCCCCACTACATTTTGTAGTAAGACCTGCAAAAGAGGGTATTTGCTTACCTGGAATCCAGCGCCAGGCAGTTTTCACTTCTGCCTTCCACTCCCCCCCCCCAATGTCACCAAGATGAAGATAAATGGTCCAATCACAGGCTATCTGAACCAGTGAGGGGTAGGCAAAAGGGAGTGAGGAGGTTGAGTGGGAGAGAAATTAAAAATAAAATTTAAAAAATGGCAATATTGGCATTATTGGGAGGTAGGAAGGGCCTCCCCATGGGAGAAGCTCAATACATCTCTTGCAACCATGCAGTGAGTACTGATGACTGATGTATTTTATTCATAGCATTGTCTCCTGCTTCTTTAAAATAGTGACATTTGAAGCCTAAAAATGTCCTCTATTTGTATTGGAGAGACAGATAGATAGATAGATAGATAGATAGTGGGCAGTCCCTTCCAATGGAATAGTCTGCCTACCGCCATCAGACTCTCCACTAGTCTTCAATTGTTTTCAGAAGTGCCTTACAACCCATCTTTTTGGGAAAGCTTATGGCCTCCCAGAGTAAACTCTACCTTACATACCTGTCTATTGCTCTCTCCTAAAGGGCAGCACTACTCTCTCATCCAGCTCTGCTTCACTCCCACCTAATTTTATTGCTTTTTCCTGTCCTAATGTGTGTTATACCCACCTCCTATAGACTGTAAGCTTGTTTGAGCAGGGTCCTCTTCAACCTATTGTTCCTGTAAGTTTTCTTGTAATTGTCCTATTTATAGTTAAATCCCCCCTCTCATAATATTATAAAGTGCAACAGAATCTGTTGGTGCTATATAAATGGCAATAAAAATAATAATAGTAATGATAGATAGATAGATAGATAACCATACAACAGTACAACCGTCTAAAATTACATTAAAAAACACAGTTGTTAAATAGTGATGTCCCGAGCGGACGGCGAACATATGCGGTAAACTTTGACCCTGTACCTCACAGTCAACAGACACATTCCAGCCAATCAGCAGCAGACCCTCCCTCCCAGACCCTCCCACCTCCTGGACAGCATCCATTTTACATTCATTGTGAAGCTGCATTCTTAGTGAGCTGTCCAGGAGGTGGGAGGGTCTGGGAGGGAGGGTCTGCTGCTGATTGGCTGGAATGTGTCTGCTGACTGTGAGGTACAGGGTCAAAGTTTACCGCATATGTTCGCCGTCCATGGCGAACCGTTCGGCAAACCGTTCGGGACATCACTATTGTTAAACATTATTAAAGATTTTTTGAATCACAACCTTTTATCACACTTGCAACAGCACATTATCAATATGGTCTTGGCCATTTGAATTTTTTCACTTTATTAAATGCACTTTCTTTTAGTACATCAAGAATATTATTAACAATTTCAAAGGCATTAATGTTGTAATATATTCTTCAGAACTGTCTAACAAGATACATATCAATAGGATATATCTGACAATACATATGTAGCTGACTGGTACAGAATAATTTCAAGTTCCTGTTTGTGAATGATTGCTGAAGATAAAGCAAGGGCTGATTACGCAGATGATTTTTTTTGTCTATTATTTATATGGCCCTTTTGGTCTAATCATGAACTGTAAGTATATAGTGCTGCAGGGCACTAAACGGACAAATAATGCATATGTTCTCATTAGTAAAGCAGGAGATGTGAGAGCATTATAATTCAGTCATGGAACTAGTTCCTGTGGGAGAACAGATGCAAAAAAAATAAAATCTCATCTAGGGGAAAGGCACATTAGCATGAGAGAGCGAGGGAGTTGTCAGGCTAACTCTGCTGAGTAGATGAGTTTCTTTGGATAATTTAACGCTACAGGGAAATTTATGATGAAACACAGTAGAGAAGGACTTTTCAGGTTAGATGATGCATGACAAGTGTGATGTATGTAAACGTTGGTACTGGAAGACAAAAAAATTTGTATTATAACTAGAGCTATTCATAATATTGTCTGTATGTAAGTATTTTAACAATATGCAACTGAGGTCCCTTTAACCCATTCAATACCCAAATTGAGTTTACACGTTTTTATTTTCATTTTGCAGCATGAAATCTAGTCAATAAAGCCCCATTCACACTCATTATACTCAAGTTATAATAACCAGCCTGTCGATAAACACATATTCTGACTGCAGCCACTGGTCACTGATATAATACCTGTACATTTTCTGAAAAATGTAAGCTCACCTTCTGCTTGCAAACAGTACAGGACGTTTCAATAAGTCAAACTATTCCAAGAGTAAGGCAGATGGGGGGAGTGCACAGACTCTACAATTTCTCTGTCAGCCTTAATTTAGCAGTCCAGAGATTGGTATTGATTGCTATATTAGATTCAGATACTTTTATTTTAGAAAATATAATTTAACTGCGTTTTTATATTCTGTGGCTATTTTCAGTAACCTCCTAATGCAAGTAATGCCTTTATAGTCCTTGGTTTTTGACTATGCAACACTTTTGTTTTTGCCCCCATTTTTCATGAGCTGAACTCAAAGATCCATGTACACAAAAAGTCTATTCCTCTTAAATATTGTTCACAAATCTGTCTAAAGCTGTGTTAGTGAGCACTTCTCGTTTGCCGAGATAATCCATCCACTTCACAGGTGTGGCATATCAAGATGCTGATTAGACTACATGATTATTGCACAGGTGTGCCTTGGGCTGGCCACAATAAAAGGCCACTCTGTGCAGTTTTGATGGAGCGTGCAATTAGCATGCTGACTGCAGGAATGTCCACCAGAGCTGTTGCCCGGGAATTGAATGTTTATTTCTCTACCATAAGCCGTCTCCAAAGGTATTTCAGAGAATTCGGCCTCACAACCGCAGACCACGTGTAACCACACTGGCCCAGGACCTCCACATCCAGCATCATCACCTCCAAGATCATCTGAGACCAGCCACCCATACAGCTGCTGCAACAATTGATTTGCATAACCAAAGAATTTCTGCACAAACTGTCAGAAACCGTCTCAGAGAAGCTCATCTGCATGCTCATCGTCCTCATTGGGGTCTCGACCTGACTGCAGTTCGTCATTGTAACTGACTTGAGTGGGTAAATGCTCACATTCGATGGTGTCTGGCACTTTGGAGAGGTGTTCTCTTCACGGATGAATCCCGTTTTTCACTATACAGAGCAAATGGCAGACAGCGTGTATTGCGTCGTGAGGGTGAGCATTTTGCCGATGTCAATGTTGTGGATCGAGTGGCACATGGTGGCGGTGAGGTTATAGTATTGGCAGGCGTATGTTATGGACAATAAACACCAGTGCATTTTATTGATGGCATTTTGAATGCACAGAGATACCGTGATGGGATCCTGAGGCCCATTGTTGTGCCATTCATCCACGACCATCACCTCATGTTGACAATGCATGGCCCCATGTTGCAAGGATATGTACACAATTCCTGGAAGCTGAAAACATCCCAATTCTTCCATAGCCAGCATACTCACCAGACATGTCTGCCACTTAGCATGTTTGTGATGCTCTGGATCGGCGCATATGACAGCGTGGTCCAGGTCCTGCCAATATCCAGCAACTTTGCACAGCCATTGAAGAGGAGTGGATGAATATTCCAGAGGCCACAATCAACAACCTGATCAACTGTGTTGCACTCTGGTGGTCACACCAGATACTGACTGGTTTTCTGCCCCTCCCCCCCCCCACCCCGCGGACCCACCAATACAGTAAAACTGCACATTTTAAAGTGGCCTTTTATTGTGGCCAGCCTAAGGCACACCTGTGCAATAATCATGCTGTCTAATGAGCATCTTGATATGCCACACCTGTAAGGTGGATGGATTATGTCGGCAAAGGAGAAGTGCTCACTAACACAGATTTAGACAGATTTGTGAACAATATTTGAGAGAAATCGGCCTTTTGTGTAAGTAGAAAAAGTCTTAGATCGTTGAGTTCAGCTCATGAAAAATGAGGACAAAAACAAAAGTGTTGCATTTATAGTTTTGTTCAGTGTATATATTTTTAAAATGTATCAATAGTGACATTGTAAAACTGTTATCTGACATAAATCTCTGAATCACACCTCACATGTTCATATTTTTTTTAAAGTAGACAACCCAGGGTATATAATATGGGATATGTCCAATTTTTTTAGTAGCCACTTAGTCACACACACTGGCCAAAGTTAGCATTTATATTTGTTTGTGTGTTAAAAATGCAAAAATCTATTTTATGAACGCTAACTTTGGCAAGTGTTTGTGACTAAGTGGCTACTAAAAAAGACTGAACATACCCCATTTGCAATACCTTGGGTTGACTTCTTTTGCAAATGGTATGCCATCATTGGGATAATTCTCATTCCTGGGCTACCATACGCTCTCAAATGAAACATAACCAATCTGACAAATTTCAATGTGAAAAATACTGAGAATCAATCCTTATATTTGACCCTGTAACTTTTCAAAACACTATAATACCTGGCGATGTACACAAATATTAGTGTTTCAAAACAGTAAAACCTATCACAACAATTATATCATCAGTGAGAGTGCCGTTTGTATGTGAAAAATGCCAAAAAACTTCACTTTCACTGACTATATCATCGCTGTCATAAGTTTTAAGGTTTTCAGACACTAATATTTGTGTTCAGCAAAGTCTCCGGAGTAAAATAGCACCTCCTATGTACATGTTTTATGGTGTCCTGGAAAGATACAGTGTTAAATATAGGGCTTGCAAACCAAATTCTCTGGACTTTCTGCCTGGGTTGTCATGCAGGTCTCTCAAATTGTAATTAATAAAATGACTTAATTATGTAAAAATATTATATACCGTATATACTCGAGTATAAGCCGACCCGAATATAAGCCGAGGCCCCTAATTTTACCCCAAAAAACTGGGAAAACGCATTGACTCGAGTATAAGACTAGGGTGGGAAATGCAGCAGCTACTGGTAAATTTCTAAATAAAATTAGATCCTAAAAAAATTATATTAATTGAATATTTATTTACAGTGTGTGTATATGATGAATGCAGTGTGTGTGTATGAATGCAGTGTGTGTATGAGTGCAGTGTGTGTGTATGAGTGCAGTGTGTGTATGAATGCAGTGTGTGTATGAGTGCAGTGTGTGTATGAATGCAGTGTGTGTATGAATGCAGTGTTTGTGTATGAGTGGTGTGTGTGTATGAATGCAGTGTTTGTGTATGAGTGCAGTGTGTGTATGAGTGCAGTGTGTGTGTATGAGTGCAGTGTGTGTGTATGAATGCAGTGTGTGTATGAATGCAGTGTGTGTGTATGAGTGCAGTGTGTGTGTGTATGAATGCAGTGTTTGTGTGTGTGATGCAGTGTGTGTTTGTGTTGCAGAGCCTTGGTGGGGGGATGGGCATTTTTATAAAAAAAAATGTATTATTATTAAAAAAAATTTGTTATATTATTATTTTTTTGTATTATTTTTTTATTATTATTTTTATTATTATTTATATATTATTAATTTATTTATTTTTCGTCCCCCCTCCCTGCTTGATACATGGCAGGGAGGGGGGCTCTCCTTCCCTGGGGGTCCAGTGGCATTGGCAGTTCAGTGGGGGGAGGAGGGGGGCTGGCAGAGCTGTTACTTACCAGTCCTGCAGCTCCTGTCAGCTCTCTCCTCCTCTGCGCCGGTCCGTGCAGCTCCTCTGTCAGCTCACACTGTAAGTCTCGCGAGAGCCGCACTATGACCCCGCGGCTCTCGCGAGACTTACACTGGGAGCTGACCGAGGTGCTGACCGTACCGGCACGGAGGAGGAGAGAGCTGACAGGAGCTGCTGGAGAGGTAAGCGCTCGCTGCCAGCCCCCAGTCTGTATTATGGCAATGTAAATTGCCATAATACAGACAGTGACTCGAGTATAAGCCGAGTTGGGGTTTTTCAGCACAAAAAATGTGCCGAAAAACTTGGCTTATACTCAAGTATATACGGTATGTATATTTGTAGATTTTAAAAATATATGCATATATATATATATATAGAGAGAGAGAGAGAGAGAGAGAGAGAGAGAGAGATAGATAGATAGATAGATAGATAGATAGATACATAGATAGATAGATATAGATACATATGTGTATTTATAACGTCATTCTAAATGTATTTTGATTTAAATATGTATGTAGATTAACATCAAAATACAGTTAGATCACATTTAAATAGGTATCTAAACTTCAAAAAAATAGATTTTATAATTTTTTTTTCAGTTTATTATTTTATTTTATATATAATCAGAATTATATATATATATATATATATGTATATATATATATATATAATTATAATATATATAATTAACATCATTCTAAGTGTATTTTAATTATATATATATATCTTAATATTAAAATATATAAAATCCACAATATCCTTGCACACATAGGCTCTGTATTATAGTTTCTGGGTGCTTGCAGTCCAGGGGAAGTCATGTATAAAATTGTAGAGATGACCAGCACTCACGGTTTTGTAGAGATTAAAAGTTGTAGGCTTTAATGAAGATACATAGTTAAAAGTAGATCTACTTTTAACTATGTATCTTCATTAAAGCCTACAACTTTTAATCTCTACAAAACCGTGAGTGCTGGTCATCTCTACAATTTGTATATATATATATATATATATATATATATGATCTAAGTACTTTTATTAACTTTATTAAACTTTTATAACTTTTATTTACTTTTTAAACTTTTGTGCAGGCATGAGAGTGGACAGCCTGAGATCTCAGGCACTCCCCCTGCAGGCACTGCACAAGCCACAAGTCACATGGCCAGGGTGCCAGATCAGGCAAAGGGGGTCTGCCTTAGCTCCCAGGCAGGATCGCGATGGCCGGCGGGGGATCAGGTAAGTGCGAATTTGGGATCAGACGTACCAGGTACGTCAGCGGTCGTTAACAACCGTTTTTTGTCGGACATACCTGGTACGTCAGAGGTCGCTAAGAGGTTAATGTTTTGTCACATTTACTATATATGAAAAAATTTGTTTTTGCTATTATGCTCACATTTCAAGATAAAGGTCTAATATTTCAAGATAAAGAACACTAATGTGTACTGTCTAAAGCTTAACTTCCCATATATGTTTTTATAAATAAACAAATAAATTAAAAATAAAAATGTGTAAATTTTCTTTCAAATGTAATTTGTACTTTGTCTGTAAAGAAATCTATACATAAAAGTGATGTGCTATAATATGTTTATATGCTAGCGATGCATCCCTTGTTTCAAATAAATGTTATGCTAATATTTTTTCAATCAAATTATACATGTGAGTAAATGGGTCTTTTGCCCAACATGAATTGGTTATAGAGAATAACATTTAATTTATACATTTATTCTAACAAATTTGTAAGTGCAACCACATGTTGAAAAATAATGCTATGTCGATTTTCTTGTTAGATTTGGCCATTGGCATAGCATTAAATACTACAACTATTTCACTGAAGGATGACCTCCAGTCCTACTTGACCATCTTGAAGTGATACAATGTTGTTTAATTTCTAATACACACTAAAAAAAAAATTGTAATGTAAAATTCCACATGTGTAATTTGGAGATGGTGGCACAGCCACCTTGCACTTTTTTCGATTCTTTCTTAGAGATCAAGTGGCTTTGCCACACGTATATATAGAATAATGTAGAAAGTTTGATGTACTGGTGATTTGAACACAAGAATAATTTATACATTAGATGTATAACTTTATGAAGATGGTTTTGAAATTTACACATTTTATGGATAACACATTCACTTTACATGATCTAATGACTGACAATAGAGTTTAGTTATAGCAGTTTGGACTAGAGTTGAGCGGACACCTGGATGTTCGGGTCCGGCAGGTTCGGCTGAACTTTGAAAAAAGTCCGGGTTCGGTCTAGAACTTGACCCCGAACTTGACCACGAACCCTATTGAAGTCAATGGGGACCCGAACTTTTGGCCACAAAAATGGCTCAAAAAAACTCCTGGAAAGGGCTAGAGGGCTGCAAAAGGAAGTAAAATTGGGGTAAGAGTAGGACAAGTGCCCTGGAAACAAATGTGGATAGGGAAATCACTTAAAAATAACATGAAATAAGCAGCCACTTAGTAGATAACTCCCTAATTCCCACGGTATTAGGGAGCTATCTATCAAAAGGCTGAAAGACCTAAATTGGTCACCTAAATTGGTCTTTCAGCCACATTTACTAATACTAAGTAAAGATTACTTAGTATTAGTAAATTCAGCCCCTACTCACTATACCGCGAGTAGGGGCGTGTCTAGTAAACAGTGAGCAGCCAGTGACTGCTCACTGTAAAAACAAAAAACAAAACAAAACCTATTGCCCCCACCCCTGTGCGATGGGTGGGGGCCCTAAATAAGAATGTGGAAGGGGGACCTACTGTCCTTCCCCCTGGCCCCCACCCCTGCGAGGTGGGTGGGGGCCATAAATAAAAAATGGGGGGGACCTAATGTCCTCCCCACCAGCCTCCACCCCGAGCGGTGGGTGGGGGCCATAAATAACAATAAGGGGGGGACCTACTGTCCTCCCCCTGCCCCCACCCCTGAGTGGTAGGTGGGGGCCATAAATAAAAAATGGGGGGACCTAATTTCCTCCCCACCAGCCTCCACCCCGAGCGGTGGGTGGGGGCCATAAATAACAATAAGGGGGGGCCATAAATAAAAAATGGAGGGACCTAATATTCCTCCCCTCGGCCCCCACCCCTGCGTGGCAGGTGGGGGTCCTAAATAACAATAAGGGGGGGACCTAAGGTCCTCTCCCCCAGCTCCCACCCCTGCGCAGCGGGTGGGGGTCCTAAATAACAATAAGGGGGGACCCAATGTCCTCCCCCTGGCCCCCACCCCTGAGCGGTGGGTGAGGGCCATAAATAAAAATCCCCCCCAGGTGACTAGGGGTCCCCAAAACCCTAGTCACCCCCCTCCCCCCAAAAAAATTACCCCTACCTACCCCCCTGATCCTAAAAATAATGAGGGGACCCTTGTCTAAATATCTGTAAAAAAAAAAAATAGACTTACCATTTGATGTCTTCTTTCTTCTAAAATCTTCTTTTTTCAGCCCCAAAAAAGACCAAATAAAAATCCAGAATAACCGACGCACTTAAAAAAAAGAAAAAAAAAAGAAAAATAATCCATCTTTACCCATGGAGGGCTCCGCGCAGACTGAGCTCTGCAGGGCGGGGCAAGGCTTATAAAGCCTTGCCCCGCCCTGCAATTAGGCTTCAAAGAACTTTCCCACGCTGTGTAAAATGACACAGAGCACTCTGATTGATTAGCTTGAAATCCTGCCAATCAGAGTGCTCTGTGTCATTTTACACAGCGTGGGAAAGTTCTTTGGTATTTAGAAAGGGTCCCCCCTCATTATTTTTAGGATGAGGGGGGTAGGGACGGGTAATTTTTTTTTGGGGGGGTGACTAGGGGTTTGGGGACCCCTAGTCACCTGGGGGGAATGTTTATTTATGGCCCCCACCCACCGCTTAGGGGTGGGGGCTGGGGGGAGGACATTAGGTCCCCCGCTTTTTGTTATTTAGGGCCCCCACCTGCCGTGCAGGTGTGGGGGCCAGGGGGAGGACATTAGGTCCCCTCCTTATTGTTATTTAGGGCCCCCACCCACCCAGGGGTGGGGGCCGGGGAGAGCAATATGCCTTTCAAAATGTGTCATTAAATCTCTGAACTCCAACCCGAACATACAGTGATATGTCCGTGTTCGGGTCCGTGGTCCAAAAAAACGTAATGTTTGGTACAAACCCGAACTTTTAAGTTCGGGTTCGCTCAACTCTAGTTTGGACACATATACACTAAAGTGAATAATGTGATTCATATACATAATGAAAATATATACATAAGCTGATAAAAAAGTAACACCCTCATCAAACCATATCATAAACTGCTTGTGGCCTTTTTATTTGTTAATTGTTATTACACACATTGGCTATTTAAGTGAAGTATAAAGGGAGATTTGTGACTGAAATTGACACACCATTTTTAATGCATTATATAGATAATATAAAGAAGATTAGATAAAAATAAAGTTAAAGAAAGGAAAATAAAAATTGCGAGTTTATTCACTAAACACAAAATGTTGTCTGTTCTAATCGTATTGACAATGTCAGGTTTACTAAAGCCAAATATGTTTAGACACTAGTCAGTGTGGTGGTTACCCCGAGAGAGGAGGGGTATCTACCGCCAGAGATGTCCCTTTCTCCTAGTGTGGGTAGTGCTGTAGTATTCCCAAGTCGATCTCCAAGCAGGCAATAGAGCAAGAATAGCTGTTCAGCTCTTACAAGAGCTAGTGGTTATAGCAGGTA